CAAAAAGAGCATGATTTAATGCATTATGTGGTGATTGAGGGTAAATTTCTTCCTTTTTATTTTTACTTTTTAAGTTGTATTTTAAGACTGCTATGAGCCCTTTCTACAATACCTTGTCCATGAGGATTATAAGGAATACCTGTTTTATGTACGATTTCCCATTGGATATAAAATTGTTGAAATGCCTTACTATACCCAGAAACATTATCAGTTTTATTTTTTGGTATACCCATATACAAAAAACACTTCAAGCAGTGCATAATTACATGTTTTGTAGCTTCCCCAGGTTGTGCACTAGCCATTAAAAATCCTGAATAAGTGTCAACGGTCACATGTACATATCTTAATTTGCCAAATTCTGCAATATAAGTAACATCCATTTGCCATAGATGATTAGGAAGACCTCGAGGGTTTACCACTAAGTGAGGAACAGGAAAATATTTTGGACATACCCCATATCATTTAACTATGACGAGCTGCTTCTTTGGTAAGATTGAATTGCTTTCTTAAGCTTTTGCTATTTTGATGATGAAGAGCATGTGACTGTTAAGCCATTTCCACTTGGGATAATGCTACTAATCTTTATTAACTTATCAGCCACTGCATTACCCTCAGCTAAAGGACCAGGAAGATTGGAGTGAGCTCTAATATGGCCCACAAAGCATGGCAGCTTTCTTTTGTGAACAGCATCTTGAATTTGTTGAAACATTTTGACTTGGTTGTTGTTAGTTCCAATATTTTCACCAAAACTGTTACTATTCAAAGGAGTCAAGAACATAGATGTACTTTCATGAAACATATCCTTCATTAGCTTATTCTGAGAAAAAGCATTTTCAGGATTTAGTATTTTCACTTCATTAGCTTTAACTCCTGATATTATTAGCAGCTGTGATATTTAGCATTGATTCCTTATAAGGAACTTTCAGGGGAAGCAACTCCATTTTTTACGACAGCTAGATTTTCTGAAGTTTGTTTCCCATCTATAAAGCAGTCATTTCTTTTTGAATGCCTGTTTCCTTGTCTCCTTATTAGATCTGCAAAGTAATCACTCATTGCAGGCTGTTTGTTCAAAAGGCAAAGAACTTTTTAAATTTCACATGTTTCTTCATATCTAAGACAACGTTCAGTGTATAAACTGCTTTCCCTTGTTTTAAGGATTTTAAAGTGGCTTGTTTGCCCTTATAGGTAGCTTTTTGTCTGATCTGAGTTCTCAAGAGGTAAGATTGAGCTTTCTAGTATTGCTTTGAGAAGAAACTTCATTCTGAGCTGAAAAGTTTTTGGACAGTATCGCCATCTTTAGCTGAAAAACTACATTTCCCAGAATGCATTTCTCTTCATCAGCTCGCTTATGAACTCCATTTTCCCATAGTTCTTTTTGGGTCTGAGAGTCAACTTCTAAGTTTTTACCGGGCTTGCTTTGAAATTCTTGCCCGGGAGGTTTGAACCAAGTTTTTTGCTTTTGCAACGGGAGATTTGAACAAGCATTTTACATTTTCAACTATGGGACATTGGGAGATTTCTGGTCTCTCCGCAGCTGGCTTTAACAGGTGTTTCTCCTTCATCAGACACTGGCCCCGGATCAGAACTGAACCTGCCTCACTAGTTAGTGCGCATTGAGGTGGGCAATTTCTGATAGCAACTTTCCTCGGGGTTTGTGTTTGCCTTAGCCAGTCAGTGAAAAACAAAAACATTTACAACAGCTTTTCCATAGCTCCTTCAGAGAGATTTTTCTCCCACTGATAGACATTTATGTCATTTCGCTTTCCTCCCCCCCACCTCCCCATGATGCAGAGCTTCAGATATCTCAGACTGCTCTCTTCCTCTGCTAGCTGCCTTTGGAGGTAGGGGCTCCCCCCCCCCCCCCCCCAATCTGCCTCATACTCTAGCAGCTTTATCAGGTCATGCATTTTCTGGGGAAGAATCTGTCCCTTCTCCATTTCTTCAGAGAGTCAGTTCCCAGTTTGGTCTGTTTATCTCCTCTGCCCCAGAAACAGTTTTTGACACTAAAGTGACAGCTTTCCCTGCTACTGAAGGTAGGGGCTTTTTGTCTGTTTGTTTTTGGGTCTGTGTGGTTTGCGTACAGACTGAAAATCTAACAAGGGAGGTTTTTGCCATTTCTAAACTCCCATTAGGACAGGTGTTTTGCCTTGTCAGGCCTTCACCTGGCCCAGTCCCCCAGTGGGTTGCATTTGCTTGTCTGGGTGCTCAAGGACAGAGCTTATGCCAGAGGCAATCACCCCTTAGGGCCACACTCCCTCATCTCAGGGAGTCAGGTGAAATAAAGCTTTTCTCAAGGAGATGCTTTCTCTGACAGAAAAGAAAGCTTTACTCCTGGATAGTTCTGTTCTGCCCTGGCTGGGCTCTTTCCCCAGACAGCATTTTGACTCAGCAGCACAACTGCTTCAGACACAGTTCAGCTTTACAATTGTCCCAGAAAGGTCCTTACTCTGATAGGAAAGCTTTTTCTCAGATTTCTTTTTGCAGTTGTGGACCTATCAACCCGGGACTTGTAGGAAAGTGGACAACTGTGCCGTTCCCACCGGCTTTAGCTTTGGTTGTTCATTAGCAATCTTCCCCTGGGTCCTGCACCTTCCTGCCTCAGCTCTGTGCTCTAGGAAGTTTACTACTGCAGGAACCCTAGTATCCCTGAAATGCATTCCAACTGCAATGCTGGCTAGTTGCTTCTCAGTTTTTGGTTAGAAGGGAGTATACAATGCTTGACAGAATTTGTATCACTTCAGGGGATCTTTGCATTAGCGGTAATTAGGAGCACCTTTTCATTCTGAAACTTTCACTCAGAAACAAAACCCTTGATGCCTCAGCTCAGCTGTAAGTGAAAGGCTTGACTTTTTTGCTTTTCCCACATAAACCATTTCCTGTGCCATTGGGCTTTCTGAAGCTCTTCACCTGCACTCTCCCAAGCATTTCCCTCAGGGTACTCTGACCCACTGTCTTTTACTAGCTTGAAGAGACAGAGCTTAGAAGAGGTTTTTAGGAACTCCATCCCTGCCTCCTGCATTGCAGGGAGGATTTTTAAAGCTGGTGTAGCGAGCACATACCCCGGTTACAGGGGAGGAATAATCACTCTTGATTCAGACTTGGTATAACACTCATTTATTCACACAGTAAGATTACAAGCAATATTCATCCTGTCTCCAAATGGAAGCAGGAATACCTCTCCAGGTGTACAGGTCCGGACTCACCATGTCTGTTCCTCTGGATCTTGGGTCAGCCTTCCTCTGGTCAGCCACATCAGCACTGGGGACAGGAGATCACATCTCTGGCAGAGGAGAGTCGTCTCACAAGCTCTGTTGGTCAGGTCTGAGGCTTCATCTTTTATATTCTTTTCTGGCTAGGTTTCTAGTCTTATCCCTACTTCCACACATAGCGTATAGCTTATCACTACTCTGTTTATGGTTTAATTATGTCATTCTACTGCTTATCACTCCTGACCCGGGTTGTTCACCCTAGGCCTTACATGTCCTTACAGCTGGAAAGAAAGAACTTAGAGAGGTCTTGCTGTCTTAAGAGGTTTGCTGTTTTCCCTTAGAACTAATCACAGGTGGTCCCCATACTAATATCTTCAGGTGATTCTAATTTTTGTCCTTTTGAGAAAGTTAAAGGCTTTAGTTTTTAAGTTTTTTAAGAGAGCTTTTGAGAAAGATTAAGGCTTTTTTGTTTGTTTGCTTGTTTTTTGTTTTGTCTTGTTTTTCAAGACAGGGTTTCTCTGTGTAGCTTTGCGCCTTTCCTGGAACTCACTTTGTAGACCAGGCTGGCCTCGAACTCACAGAGATCCACCTGCCTCTGCCTCCCGAGTGCTGGGATTAAAGGCATGTGCCACCACCACCCAGCAGATTAAGGCTTTTTAAGAAAGATTTTTCCCTAACAACCCCCCTAACAATCCCTGTGTGGTCACTCTCCATGGAACATGGTGATCGCTAAGTGGAATTGGAACTGCACCATATACTCATGACAGAACCATAGGAAACTGGACTGTTTAGATAGTTTGAGCTATCTGTGCTTCAGTCCTGAGTGAATGACCCAGGACCAGTGACCCTTCACTAGGGAGGTAAGCATGAGCTCCTAGCACACAGGTGGTGAATATGGACCTGAGTTTGTGGAAAACCATGGAGACACTGGTAAAACTCTAGTAGAGCTCTCACAAAAACTAAATGGCTTACAGAGATTACTAGGTGAAAGTTTTCAAGGGAATGAAGGACAGGTGGAAAACTCGTGAGGTGGATTATGGGAGATCTTTGCAAGTAAGTGTCAGAGAGTTGGACATTTAACTTTGTTCAGTGATTACATCGTCTCTGTGTCCCTCATCAATACACTGTAGAGATTCCAATGTTCTCAAAAAACTGTTTCACAAGCTGTGGAGTCAGAATCAAGTATGGCTCACACAGAGTGTCAGTACAGAGGAACAGGATTATTTTTTATTGATTTATTATTTATTCGTAGGACAGCATATTCAGACAAAGCCCACATTATACTCAACTGCTTTCACGCGTGTTTGTTTTGTTTTGACTTTCCCTTTTTGCTTAGATACAGGGTCTCTTTAAATTTCCCTGTGCAGACTTTCACCTCTGGTCCATTTGTCAAGGAAACCGCAGAGCAGCTAGAAGCAAGGTCTGACAGATGGTTTCAAAACCATCTTTCAAAGGTACTTCTCATTCCCACATTAGTGTATTGCTTCATTAAAGTAAAACAGAGTCAACGGGATTATTTTTAAACGCTGTAGTAAGATTCAAATCACAACATATGGGTCAGAAAATTTACACGGCTAATATTCCTGTCAAAGGCTCGACTCACATACTTCTCATGTTGTGGATCTGGAGGTGAACACGAGGCTCATGCCGCAGGGCTGTCCTGCTGACTGGGCTTCTTCCTCCAATACTCTCCTGCAGGCAGCCAGACTGGAATCCACAATAGGACAAGAGACCACACCTGGGCCTTTCCCACAATTCTTTCGCATAGACTTCTGGGAAATGTAGTCTGCGGCACTGTGACGTCACATGGAGCCGTCCAGGAAATTCCCTCCTGTCCTTCAGTCCACACGTGTGCAACTTTCTCAAAGTTGCGCGAGAGTCCTGCCTGCTGTACGTTCCTCTTGCGTCTCTGACATGGAGGTTGGTCCAGGGTGCAGCACAGCCTGAGGCCCTGTGCGGGGTCCGGGGATCGGTTTTGGAGGGAATGTACCTGGGTTTGGAGAGAGAGAGCGCGGAAGAGGCTGCCTTGCAGGTGCTGTGCTGAACTGGCTGGGTCATGTGATGTTGCAGGTCAGGGCTTGGGAGAGGGCGATAGGGACTGCTCCCTAAGTGATTTCCGTAAGTTGCCGCTTGCCACCCGAGTTCCCTTTGGGCTTCTGGGACAGGAGAGCCTCCTGGTAGCGCCGAGTAGATGTTAGTGCAAGTCCAGGATTGCAAACTAATGATGGTCAGCTGACTGCCTGCTCCTGAGGTGGAGCTGGGAGCTCAGTGAGCAGCTTTGGCGGGGAAGCATGCTTCTCTAGCTGAACCGTTTTCACGTAGACGCTGTCAGATTTCTCAGAATCTGTAGAGCAAACGAGGTCTGGTCCTTCCTGAACTCTGCAGCCAGCCTAGTGTAAGGGTCTTGAGGTCATGATTGGGATCTCTTCCAGTTAGAGAATTAAGAGAGAAAAATTTCCAAGTGAAACAAAGGTGGGAAATTCAGGAGCCCGTCAACATATCTGCCAGTATCCGCTGCAATAGAAAAGCTTTGACTGTGGGTGAGAGAACACATATACCCCCCCTCCCCCCCCCCCACACACAATCCCACACACAGAGGGACCCTCTGCAGGAAGAATGGGAAATGGAGAAGCTGACTCCAGGCCTCACCTTAAGGGCTGTGTTTTCTTAACTTTGAAAGGTCTTCCATCCCTTCTGTAGGGTGGACCACAGTGGTTGTGTCAACACATTTTGATTTTGTCTTGAAGTGTTGAGCTAGTCCATAAGCAGGATGTCTAGGCACAAAGGAAAAACTCTCATGGCCTTGGGTTCCAGTGCCAGGCTTTTGTGTCAGGTCGGCAGGGTGAGGAAGAACTCACAGACTGTGTGTATTCATGTGATTTAAAGTAAACAGACCTTTGACAGAAAAGAAACTCCAGTCTACTGTATTGCACATCGCTGTCATCTCAGCATTTGTGAAGGGAGACAGGACCCTCTGGTCCTCCCCTGCTTCATAGTAAATTCAAGGGCGCCTGGGATACCTGAGTCTGTGTCTGAAAACATTTAACTTCATGGTCATGAGAAATACTTTCTGTGGTTCATTTCATGTTTCTTACAGTGAATGCCATGACAAATCCATGCAATCAGCACATTGCTGACTTAAGAACTACTTGTGGTTAACTTCTGTTGACACATTTCACATGTAATTTAATGTGTTTTCACTAACATACTTTTTTTGTTGAAGACATTAACTTTTGGAGACTAGGTAATTGTTTGGATTTACTCTGTGAGAAAGAATTCTCAATGCCTTGCTTAAATATTCCTGTTTGTAGTGATTGTTCATTCTTTTTAGATATTAATCTGTGTTTGTTACTGTCATGACCTGATGCTGATTTCTTCTCGTTTTATTTATTTCTTCCAGGTTGCTCCTTTCATATCTAATCTGAGACTCCATTATTTCTTCATTTCCATTCTGCAGTTCTTGACTGATGTGGCTGCTGTGGTTACATTCCTGGGTCTTTTTCTGCAGCTGCAGCTGGGATGCGTTCCCCTGACCTTTCATCATGGGTTCCACTGTGTGTATTTTAAGCACTATGTCGTTTGATCAGGACATAGTCTGCTTTGAATGGAAGATCACTACTGTTAGGAACCTGATCAGGAATCCAGTCCTCCCTTTGCATCAGGCTTGGACTTCCCACTAATCTTCAGTTTTGTCTGATTCTCTGAAAAGGTATCTCTGAGGAACTGACAGAAGATTCAGGAGTTCCTAATGTATCTACTCTGTCCATTCTGTTGTTCTAGGCTTGACACTAGGACCAGTCTCTATAATCTTTATATTATATATATTTATATTAATATATCATTGCTGTTAATATCTTAATATTATTAATGGTTTTAATTAAACTAAAGTGCAGTATCATTCATTGATCTTTATTTCAGGAAATGTTGTCCTTCAGGGATGTGGCCATTGAGTTCTCTGCAGAAGAGAGGGACTGCCTGGAGCCTGCTCAGTGGAATTTGTACAGGGATGTGATGTTGGAGAATTACAGCAACCTTGAGTTCCTTGGTGAGGCTCTCATCCATAGTGAATTCTTATTTCACCATCAACATGTAGCTTCCTCACTTTGTATGGTATCTCATGGGAGCATTTCAACAGCCTTTTTCATATCCTTTATTTTCAGAAAAATTAGGCAGATTGCTCTATTAAAAATCATTTCAGGACTGGGGAGATGGCTCAGTTCAGAACGTTGACTGCTCTTGTAGAGGATCGGGGTTCAATTCCTATCACCCATATGGCAGCTCACAGCTGTCTGTAATCCCAAGGTCTGACACTGTCATGTTGATTGTGTTCTGACACATAAAGCTTGCCTGGAGTCAGAGGGTGATGCTAGCCACTGGCTGACCACAGAGCTTCAGAGGCTGTGGAAAGATGGACCGGAAGTGGTAAGTCAGGGCTGAGGCAGGATCTGAGCCCTTTAGAATCAAGGAACCAAAGATGTAGGAAGTCACTGTGTCTGCTCCCCTGTGTCTCTGATCTTTCAGGTTTTTCACCCCAATGCCTGACTCTAATTTTTTTGTTTGTAGAGATTAATTTGATTAACACTTCATCCTCACACAGACATCCCTGCAAGTAAAGCATCAATGCACATGTAAAATTAAAATAACATGTTCAAAAAGAACCATTTCACTGTTTGTCTCTTTTTGTGTTTTGCATTTCTGTGTTGGGTGTGTATTTCCTTCACTCCAGTGGGACTCTTAGAAATTCAATGACATGAGACTTCAAGTACACTTGTTAATTAGAGTGTTTCAAAATTCAGGGTTTTTTTTTTTGTTTGTTTGTGTTTGTTTGGTTGTTTGTTTTGTTTTTTGTTGTTGTTTTTTGTGTTTTTGCCTCCCCTTTGTGACTCTGGAGAGTCCCGGCTGACAGAGATGAGTGCTTCCATGTAGGTCAACTTGATAAACTTAGAACAGCCACTTTAAAGACATGAGCCTCCGAGGCCGGCTATGTTTTAAAACAGTTTCTCACTGAACCTGCAGATGCCATTTAGCTGGACTTGTCGGCTGACAAGTCCCGAGGACCTGCCTGTCCTGCCCACCTAGTCTTGGGTTTCAGGTGCATGCCACTGGCCAACTTTTTATTTTTTATTAAGAGATTTTCTATTTATTTTACATATCAACCACAGATTCCCCTGTCTTCCCTCCTGCCACCCACCAGACTCCCCTCCCCCGAATCCACCCTCCATTCCCACCTTCTCCAAGGCAAGGTCTCCCCTGTGGAGTCAGCAGAATATGGTAGATTCTGATGAGGCAGGTCCAATCCCCTCCTCCCTGTACCAAGGCTGAGCTAAGTGTCTTAGCATAGGCCCTAGGTTCCAAAAAGCTGGGTTGAGGAACTAAGGACAGGTCCCAGTCTCACTGCCTGGGGGCCCCCTAAACAGTTCAAGCTAAACAACTGTCTTGCTCATTCGGAGGGCCTAGTCCCGGTACCATGTGGGCTCCTTAGCTATTGGTCCACAGTTCATGTGTTTCCACTAGTTTGTCTAGTTGTCTCTGTACTTTTTCCAATCATGGTGTGGATATCACTTGCTCATATAATCCCTCCTCTTTCTTGTCGAATGGACTCCTGTAGATCCGCCAGGGGCTTGGTCGTGGATCTCTGTATCTGCTTCCATCAGTCACTGGTTGAGGGTTCTGTCATGACAGTTAGGGTGTTTGGTCATCTGATCACCAGAGTAGGCCAGCTCAGGAACCCTCTCAACCATTGCCAGTAGTGTCTTACAGCCATTTGAGCTTCTGTTGAGAATTCTCTGTTTATCTCTATAGCCCATTTTTTAATTGGACTGTTAAGTATTTTGATGTGTAGTTTATTGATTCTTTACATATTCTAGATATCAGCCCCCTGTCAGATGTGGGGTTGGTGAAGATCTTTTCCCATTCTGTAGGCTGTCGTTTTTTCTTATTGACCATGTTTTGCCCTACAAAAACTTTTCAATTTCAAGAGTTTCCATTTATTAATTGTTTCTCTCAGTGTCTGTGCTCCTGGTGGTATATTTTAGGAAGTGATCTCCAGTGCCAATGGGTTGAAGACTACTTCCTACATTCTCTTCTATCAGGTTCAGAGTAACTGGATTTATGTTGAGGTCTTTGATCCACTTGGACTTAAGTTTTGTGCATGGTGACAGATATGGATCTATTTGCAATCTTCTACATGTTGACATCCAGTTATGCCAGCACCATTTGTTGAAGATGCTTTCTTTTTTCCATTGTACAGTTTTGGCTTCTTTGTCAAAAATTAGGTGTTCATACATGTGCAGATTAATGTCAGGGTCTTTGTTTGATTCCATTGGTCCACATGTCGGTTCTTATGCCAGTACCAAGCTGTTTTTATTACTGTAGCTCTGTAGTAGAGCTTGAAGTCAGGGATCATGGTGCCTCCAGAGGTTGTTTTATTGTCCAGGATTCTTTTGGCTATTCTGGGTTTTTTGTTTTTCCAAGTGAAGTTGAGTATTGTTCTTTCCAGGTTGATGAAGAATTGTGTTGGGATTTTGATGGGGATTGCACTGAATCTGTAGATTGCTTTTGGTAAGATTCCCATTTTTACTATGTTAGTCCTACCTATCCATGAGCATGGGAGATCTTTCCATTTTCTGACATCTTCTTCAATGTCTTTCTTCAGGGACTTAAAGTTGTTTTCATACAGGTTCTTCGCTTGCTTAGAGTTACCCCAAGGTATTTTATATTATTTGTGGCAATTGTAAAGGGTGATGTTTCTCTGATTTCTTTCTCAGCCCATTTGTCATTTGTATATAGGGGGGCTACTGATTCTTTTGGGTTAATCTTGTTTCCTTGCCACACTACTGAAGGTGTTTATCAGCTGTAAGAGTTCCTTGGTCAAATATTGGGGGTCAGTTATGTATACTATTATGTCATCTGCAAATAGTGAAAGTTTGATTTCTTCCTTTCCAGTTTGTATCCCTGTGATCTCCTTTTGTTGTCTTATTGCTCTACCTAGAACTTCAAGTACTATATTGAATAAGTATGGGGAGAGCAGAGAGCCTTGTCTTGTTCCTGATTTTAGTGGAATCGCTTTGAGTTTCTCTCCATTTTCTTTGATGTTGGCTGTTGGCTTGCTGTAATTTGCCTTTATTATGTTTAGGTATGTTCCCTGTATTCCTGATCTCTCCAAGACTTTTATCATGAAGGGGTGTTGGATTTTTGTCAAAGGTCTTTTCAGCATCTAATGAAATGATCATGTGATTTTTTTCTTTGAGTTTGTTTATATGGTGTATTACGTTGACAGACTTTCGTATGTTGAACCACTCTTGCATCCCTGGAATGAAGCCTACTTGATCATGGTGGATAATTGTTTTGATGTGTTCTTGGAGTCTGTTTGCCAATATTTTATTGAGTATTTGTACATCAGTGTTCATGAGGGAGATTGGTCTGTAATTCTCTTTTTGTTGCATCTTTCTTTGACTTGGGAATCAAAGTAACTAGCCTCAGAGGAAGAGTTTGGTAATGTTCCTTCTGTTTCTGTGGTGTGAAACAATTTAAAGAGTATTGGTACTAACTCTTTTTTGAAGATCTGGTAGAATTCTGCATTGAAACCATCTGGTCCTGGGCTTTTTTTTTTTTTTTTTTTGGTTGGGAAACTTTTAATGACAGTTTCTATTTCCTTAGGGGTTATTGGTCTCTTTAAATAGTTTATCTGGCCTTGATTTAACCTAGGTATGAGGTATCTATCCAGAAAACTGTCCATTTCTTTTAGATTTTCCAGTTTTGTGGAGTACAGGTTTTTGAAGTATGGCCTGATGATTCTCTGGATTTTCTCAGGTCAGTTGTTATGTCTCCCTTTTCATTTCTGATTTTGCTAATTTGGATGCTCTCTCTCTCTCTCTGCCTTTTGGTTAGTGTGGATAAGGGCTTGTCTATCTTGTTGATTTTCTCCAAGAACCAACTCTTTGTTTCATTGATTCTTTGTATTGTTCTCTTTGTTTCTATTTTTGATTTCAGCTCTCAATTTGATTATTTCCTGGTGTCTATTCCTCCTGGGTGACTTTGCTTCTTCTTGTTTTAGAGCTTTCAGGTGTGCTGTTAAGTGACTAGTGTGAGATTTCTCCAACTTCTTTTTTTTTTTTTTTTTTTTTTTTTTTGGTTTTTCGAGACAGGGTTTCTCTGTGTAGCTTTGCGCCTTTCCTGGAACTCACTTGGTAGTCCAGGCTGGCCTCGAACTCACAGAGATCCGCCTGGCTCTGCCTCCCAAGTGCTGGGATTAAAGGCGTGCGCCACCACCGCCCGGCTTCTCCAACTTCTTTATGTGGGCATTTAGTGCTATGAATTTTCCTCTTAGCACTGCTTTCATAGTGTCCCATAAGTTTGGGTATATAGTATATTTATTTTCATTGATCTCTAGAAAGTCTTTAATTTCTTTATTTCTTCCTTGACCCATTGGTGATTCAGTTGAGCATTATTCAGTTTCCATGAGATTGTAGGCTTTCTGTAATTCTTGTTGTTGTTGAAATCTAACTTTAAGCCATGGTGGTCTGATAGAATACAGGAGGTTATTCCAATTTTTTTTTTTTTTTTTTTTTTTTTGTATCTGTTGAGATTTCTTTGTGACCGAGTATGTGTTCAATTTTAGAGAAGGATCCATGGGTTGCTGAGAAGAAGGTATATCCTTTTTTGTTAGGGTAGAATGTTCTGTTAGATATTGATTAAGTCCATTTGAGTCATAACATCAGTTAAACCCCTTATTACTCTGTTAAGTTTCAATTTGTCCAGTGGTGAGAGTGGGGTGTTGAAGTCTCCCACTATTAATGTGTAGGGTTTAATGTGTGATTTAAGCTTTAGTAATGTTTCTTTTATATATGTGGGTGCCCTTGTGTTTGGGGCATAAATGTTCAGAACTGAAACTTCAATCTTGGTGGATCTTTCCTGTGATGAGTATGTAATGTCCTTCTTGATCTCTTTTGATTGATTTTAGTTTGAAGTTTATTTTGTTGGATATTAGGATAGCTATACCAGCTTGCTTCTTAAGACCATTTGATTGGAAAGACCTTTCCCAGCCTTTTATTCTGAAATAGTGTCTACTTTGAAATTGAGGTGTGTTTCTTGTATGCAGCGGAAAGATGGGTCCTGCTTTTGTATTCATTCTGTTATCCTGTGTCTTTTTATAGGTGAATTAAGTCCATTGACATTAAGGGATATTAATGACCAGTGATTGTTAGTTCCTGTTATCTCTTGGTGGTAGTGTGTGTGTGTTTCTCTTCTTTGGGATTTACTGCTGTGTGGTTATCTATTGCCTGTGTTTTCGAGGGTGTATCTGACTTACTTTGGTTGGAATTTTCCTTCTAGTGCTTTCTGTAGGGCTGGATTTGTGGGTAAGATTGTTTAAATCTGGTTTTGTCTTGTAATGTCTTATTCACACCGTCTATGGTGATTGAAAATTTTGCTAGGTATATTAGTCTAGGCTGGCATCCATGGTCTTAGTGTCTTTATTACATCTGTCCAGGTCCTTCTGGGTTTCAAAGTGTCCGTTGAGAAGTCGGGTGTTATTCTGATAGGTTTGCCTTTATAAGTCACTTGGCCTTTTTCCTTTGCTGCTCTTAATATTCTTTCTTTATTCTGTACATTTAGTTGTTTAATTATTATGTTGCGAGGGGACTTTTTTGGGGGATCTAGTCTGTTTGGTGTTCTGTAGGCTTCTTGTATCTTCATAGGTATTTTTTTCCTTTAAGTTGGGAACGTTTTCTCTATGATCTTGTTGAATATATCTTCTGTGCCCTTGAGTTGGTATTCTTCTCCTTCTTCTATCCCTATTATTTGTAGGTTTGGCCTTTTCATGGTGTGCCTGATTTTCTGGACATTTTGTGTTATGACTCTTTTGGCTTTGGTATTTTCTTTGACTGACAGGAATCTGTTTCCTCTATTATATCCTCTACACCAGAGATCCTCTCTTCCATCTCTTGTATTCTGTTGGTTATGCTTGCATCTGTGTTTCCTGTTCGTTTACCCAGATTTTCTCTTTCAAGCATTCCCTCTGTTTGTGTCTTCTTCATTGATTCTATTTCCCTTTTCAGGTCTTCAACTGTATCCCTTCCATGTTTAATTGCCTTTTCATGGTTTTCTTGGCTTTCTTTAAGGAGTTTATTGATTTCTTCCAATTTTTTATTTGTCTTTTCCTCTATTTCTTTATTGATTTCTTCCAATATTTGTTTGTCTTTTCCTCAATTTCATTTTTCATTTTTTCTTGAAAGGCCTCTAGCATCTTCATGATGCTATTCTTAAGGTCACTTTCTTCTGCTTATTTTACATTGTGATGTTCAGCTATTGCTGTTGGAGGAGGGCTAGGTTCTGGTGATGCCGTATTGCTCTTTATGTTGTTGTATGTATTTTTGCCTTGACATCTGCCCATCTCCTCCTCTCTTGGTCCAATGAGAGCTGGCAATTTGGTTTCCATGCCTCAGGAATTTGCTGGGGTCTCAGGTGGATGGGTATACAGGCAGGGCATGTAGATTGCATTATCCGGTGCGGAGTTTTGGTGAGGTGGTCCTTCTGGTTGGAGTTTTGCCTGCTGTCTGTCAACTGGGACAGAGTTTCGTGGGGATTCCTGGGGACTGGTTGTGATCTAGGGATAGGTCCTAGGGGCCTCAAAATTCAGTTTTAATGAGTTTTTCTTTCCTTTAAATAAAATTCAGAATCTAGATATTGTAAATTCCTTTATGTAGTGTAGTAATTCTGTCAGAAAACATTTAAGGAACTGATTGTCTGCAATCATTTATTTCATCATCTCCTTCCTTATAAGCATGTACTGGAAGGCACATGTAAATTCCCAGTAAAAGAACACATAAACAATCTTGTTCCTTCTTTTTTCTACAAACAGGTCTTGCTGTGTCTAAGCCACACCTGGTGACATTTCTGGAGCAAAGACAAGAATCTTCAGATATGAAGAGACAAGCAGCAGCCAACATGTATCCAGGTGTGTAGGAATGAAGGGTTTGGGGCCAGGGTTGAAGTCCAAATATCCCACAGAAAGGCAGGCTTTCCCATTACCCTGGAACATGACACTGTGGGAATCATTCTTTAGGTCTCTCCTTTATGTCTTTGTTGTTGAACCTCATCTCTCAGAAGTTTCTGATGCTTTAAGTCTTTTGAGCTTTGTGTTTCCCCAAGTATTACTCACTAGCTGGCTCTTATTGACAGTGACTTCCAAGATTTTTCTTTTTGTTGAGTCTCCATTGTAGTGTAAGACTCAGGGAAAGAGAACTCAGTGCTGGTCAGACTGGGAGTCATTTAGTTTTAGAATTTGAGAGCAGACTCTAGCCGAAAGATCTCAATACCAAAGTGAGCATCATGTCTTGAGTTATGACTTTCTTAGGTTAAGTGTTTTCTTTGACTGATGGATCTATTTCCTCTAGCATATCCTCCATGCCCCAAATTCTGTCTTCCGTATCATGTATTTGTTTCCTTTTGCTCGCTTCTTTACTTCCTGCTCATTTCCTCAGATTTTTATTTCCAGCATTCCTTCGCTCTGTGTCTTCTTCATTGCTTCAGTTTCAATTTTTAGATCTTGAGCTGTTCCCTTCACCTGTCTGGTTGCTTTTTCTTGGTTTTCTTGGCTTTCTTTAAGGGATTTATTGATTTCTTCTAATTTTTGTTTGTCTGTTCCTCAATTTCTTTAAGGGAATTTTTCATTTCCTCTTTAAAGGCCTCTATCACCTCCACAAAGTTATTTTTTAGGTTCTTTTCTTCTGCTTCTTCAATGTTGTGAATTTCACGTCTTGCTGTTGTACAATCACTAGGTTCTGGTGGTGCCATATGGCTCTTTATGTTGTATGTATTCCTGCATTGGTGTCTACCAATCTCTTCCATAATCAGTGCAAGAGGTGTCTGTGTCTGAAGGAACTGCTCTCAATTCAATCTTTGCTGCCTGTGTGTGTTTCAGGGGGCCACTCTTAATCCAACCTGCATTCTTGGGTCCAATCAGAATTCTTGGTGCACCAATCAGAATTCTTGGTACAATCAAGCTGGTAGATTCTTTGTCTCTGGGAGCTGCAAAGGTTTGGGCAGAGGGAGTTGGTCTCATAGATTGCAGGGTCCCTTGGGAGATATTGGTAGGGAGATCTGCCCACTGGAGTCTTCACAAGTTGTCTGCAATGGTGGGGTTTGGAGTGGGTCATGGGTTGTGCCCTGGGGCCTAGGACTTTCTAGGAGTCAGGACTTTCTGGCTAGGCAAAGAGTTACTCACCTCTTGATCCAATCATAGCTGGTGGATTCTGTGTCTTAGTGAGCCACTTAGGTCAAAGGGAGATGGGTGGGTTTGGGTAGGGAGTGGTGTTGTAGATTGCAGGGTTTAATGGGGGGGGTGTTTGATGAGAGACCTGCCCACAGGAGACTTCCCTACTGGCCTGCAACTTGGGGTGGGGAGGCATGACTTGTGCCCCAAGGCATAGGTCCTAGAGACAGGACTCTGGCTGGGACAAGAGTCAGTCATTCATCTCTTCATACCATCAGAACTTGCGGATTGTGTGTCTCAGGTTGCCCCTGAGGTCACAGGGGGATGGGTGGGTTTTGGGGAGGGAGTGGGTCTTACAGATTGCAGGGTCCCTAGGGGGTATTGGTGGGGAGATCTGCCTGCCAGAGTCTTCCCTACTGGTCTACAATTGGGGCAAGAGTGGGTGGGGGTGATAGGGCATGGGTTCTGCCTCAGGGCCTAGAGATACGACTCTGGCAGGGAGAAGATTCACTCACCTCTTGGTCCAATCAGAGCTGGAGGATTCTGTTTTATATATTCTTCTCATCAAAATAAACCATAAAATACTGTCCTAAATTTTTGAGTTATAAATTTAATTTTTTGGGGGACCATCTACTTCTAGTGCAGCATAACTTTTCTACCTTCCAAATTAAAACTCTGTTGGAGGATGAAAATGTTCTTTTTAGATGATGGCTCAAATCATACAGTCACAATTAACTTTCTCTTTTCTCAGCTTGGTTACTTGATTTATAATTGCAGGGGTTCATTATTTAATGGGTTAATTTCTGTTGTAAAATGCCCTTACAACTTTCTTAGCTATTAAACTTTGAATACTATGCCATTATGTCTAGGTTCATTTTTGTCATGCCATTATTCTAGAATAAGTATAGATTATTTCTACCTACAATATTTTATCATTTATGCTTAGTGCCTATAAGTTTTTAAATGTACTGTTGTTTCTCACTGATGCTTCAATATGTACCTGTAAATGTTTCCTTTGAAAAAGATAAGCATTTTACGTATGAAGAATATTTCCAAGCTTTGTTCATATCTCAACTTTTGCTCAACAGGAACAACATTCAATGATTATAACGATTACAGCAAGGGTATTGACTGCAACTCATTAAGTATTCAACGCCAGAGAATTCATACAAGGGAGAAACCCTACCAGTGTAAAGAATGTGGTAAGGGCCTTAGTTCTTATAAAACACTTTCCATACACCAGAGACTTCATACTGGAGAAAAATCCTACACATGTAAGGAATGTCATAAGGCCTTTAATACTCGATCATCACTTTTTATACACCAGAAAAATCATACTGATGAAAAAACCCACAAGTGTGAAGAATGTGGCAAATTATTTTACTATCCTTCAATGCTGAAGCAACATCAAAGAATTCATTCTGGAGAGAAACCCTACAAGTGTAAAGTATGTGGCAAAGCTTTTTATGAACCTAAATTGCTGAATCGACATCAAATAATTCATTCTGGAGAGAAACCCTACAAGTGTGAACAATGTGGCAAAGCTTTTTGTTATCCTTCATTCCTGAAGCATCATCAAAAAATTCATTCTGGAGAGAAACCCTACAAGTGTGAAGAATGTGGCAAATCCTTTTACACTCCTTCAGTGCTGAAGCATCATCAAATAATTCACTCTGCAGAGAAACCATGCAAGTGTGAAGAGTGTGGCAGTTTTTTTTCTTCATTTTCATACCTTAGACAACATCAAACAATTCACTCCAAAGACAATCCCTACAAGTGTGAGGAGTGTGGCAAAAGGTTTTTCCATTCTGCAATCCTTCAGAACCATTATAAAATTCATGGAGAGAGACGATACAAGTGTGAAGAATGTCACAAAACCTTTGTTTTTCACTCAGATCTTAAGAGACACAAGGTGGTTCATACTGGACAGAAACAATACAAGTGTGAAGAGTGTGGCAAATATTTTTCCGCAGCTTCATCCCTTAGACGACATCAAATAATTCACTTTGAAGACAACCCTTACAAGTGTGAAGAGTGTGGCAGATGTTTTTACTCATATTTATCCCTTAGAGGACATCAAATAATCCATTCTGAAGACAATCCTTATACCTGTGTACAATGTGGCAAACGATATTCCTGTTCTAGGGATCTTAAGGAACATCAAACACTTCATACTGGAGAGAAATTGTACAAGTGTGAAGAATGTGGTAAAGCCTTTCATTTTCAGTCATCTCTTAGGAGACACAAGGCAATTCATATTGGAGAGAAACCCTACAAATGTGAAGAATGTCACAAAGCCTTTCCTTATCTCTCATCACTTAGGAGACACAAGAGAGTTCATAGTGAAGAGAAACCCTACAAGTGTGAAGAATGTCACAAAGCCTTTCATTATCTCTCATCCCTTCATATACACAAGAAGGGTCATAGTGGAGAGAAACCCTACAAGTGTGATAAATGTCACAAAGCCTTTCTTTATCCCTTATCCCTTAGGAGACACAAGACAGTTCATACTGGAGAAAATCCCTAAAACTGTGAAGAGTGTGACAGATGGTTCTCTTCACCTTCACCCAGAGTCAATATAAAAAAGAGAAGGAAATATATTCTGAAGACAATCCCTAAAATTGTGGGGAATGTGACAAAAACTTTGTTAATCTTTATGTCCTTATTCAACACATGGTATAGTTCATAGGGGAGAGAAATCCTACAAATGTCTTAAAATGTTTATTTTTTCAACCCTTAAAATACATCAAAAGATTCATTCTGACTACATACTCCATTAATGTGTGAAGTGTGGTAAAATAATTGCTAACAATTCAGATCTAACCCACCTCTAATGAACTCTAGTAGAGAATAATAGGCTAATTATTTTGGATTGTAAACAGGAACATCTAACTTCCAATAGCAAAATGCTAAGCATTGTGGGAGCCCGTTCTCGGGTTCTTTCACCATATACATTAATAGACTCACACTTAACATTTACACTTTTTTACAGACTCACATATAACATTTTTTGCCTTGCAAAGCATTTAGACTCACATTCAACATTTTACAAACTCACATATAACGTATTAACATCTACTTATTTATACTCCTTAAGGAAACTATAGAACTACTTTAGCAAATATATTTCTTATTACTTCTTATATATTTCTTATTACTTCTTATATATTCCATCTTATTTCTTATTTAAACTTACATTTACAACTAGCATCTTTACTTCTTACAAGCTTATTATTACATGTCTTAAGACTACCTTAGATACTTCTTGCAAGCTTATATTCTTAAAGGAACTCTATAGATCTATTTTACAAACTTATATAGGGCTACCATTAGCATATATTTAACTTAGCAAACACCTAAAGATTTCTTAACACAGATCTAACAAGAGAATTTTTACAAACTCACATATCTTATTTTCATCTTTTTCTATTTCTTACTCTTAATTATCACTATCTCTATTAGAAAGATTCTCTTAACTAGACAGGAAGTACGTACATCATTTCTAAAGTTTAGAGTTTATAGTCAGCTTTGTTATAAAGCACTGGGATTTAGTGAGTGTTGTTATTATAGAATTGTGATAGCTGTTGCTAGGGGACTGTAACCTTCCCAGGATGACACCACACTCCAAAGTTGCCAGTTCTCTCAGCCGTTCTGGAAACGGCAGAGATGCACTGTCAGCGGTACATGGTTTTTAACTAGAGACTGTCCCTTCACCCAAATTCATAGTAGTTCCCCTAAGTGCTTCAATTCAGACAAACGTTTCTATTACAGCAGTACTTTTGGTTTGTTCTACGGAAAAACTTCACACTGAGGGTGAAATTACCGTATTTAGCTGCTGTAAAGCTCTTCGCCAAACACTGCACAGCTATTAGGTGATATAAAGTATTTTTCTAAAGGAGCTAGTAAAGCCACAAGTGGCACAGTTCTGAACTGTATTTAGTATTTTCACTTCATTAGCTTTAACTCCTGATGTTATTAGCAGCTGTGATATTTAGTATTGATTTCTTATAAGGAACTTTCAGGTGAAGCAACTCTTTTGTAAGACAGCTAGATTTTCTGAAGTTTGTTTCCCATCTATAAAGTAGTCATTTCTTTTTGAATGCCTGTTTCTTATCCCCTTAATTAGATTTGCAAAGGAATCACTTATTGCAGGCTGTTTGTTCAAGAGGTAAATAATTTTTTTTAATTTCAACATGTTTCTTCATATCTAAGACAACGTTCAGTGTATAAACTGCTCTCTTGCTTTCTTGAGGATTTTAAAGTTGCTTGTTTGCTCTTAAAGGTAGCTTTTTGTCATCCAACTATCATAAACTTTGCACAGCTATTAGGGTAAATAAGGCATTTTACCAATGGAGCCCCAAACCAGGAAGCACCTAGTTCCATATCCTTTCAATTTTTCATTGGAACTGACACTTAAACTCTTAGATGATTTTTCTCTTTATTCTTTTAAAAGCTGTATTTTAAGTTTACCATGAACGTATTTTCAAGCTGACAAACGTGTTTCAGGGCAATGTCGCCATCTTTAGCGGAAAAACTACCTTTCCCAGAATGCATTTCCCTTATATCAGTCCATAATGTTATCAGTCCCTTAAATCAGTCCTTTATATCATTTCCCTTATATCAGTCATTTCCCATAGTTCTTTTTGGGTCTGAGAGTCAACTGGTTCTTTTACCAGACTTGCTTACAAATTCTTGCCCGGGAGGTTTGAACAAAGGTTTTTGCTTTTGCAACGGGAGATTTGAACAAGCATTTTACATTTTCATCTATGGCACATTGGGAGGTTTCTAGTCTCTCCTCAGCTGGCTTCAACAGGTGTCTCTCCTTCATTTGACACTGGCCCCCAAATCAGAACTGTACCTGCCTCGTTAGCGCGCATTGAGGTGGGCATTTCTGATAGCAACTTTCCTCGGGGCTTGTGTTTGCCTTAGCCAGTCAGTGAAAAACAAGATCATTTACAACAGCTTTTCCATAGCTCCTTCAGAAGAGATTTTCTCCCACTGATTTTATTCTCATTTTGCTTGTTCCTCCCTTCCCCAGATGCAGAGCTTCAGGTATCTGTCTGCGGCTCTGTTCCCCTGCTAGCTGCCTTTGGAGGTAGGGGCTTTTTTTTTTCTCCCCCCGAATCTGCCTCAAATTCTAGCAGCTTTTCACAGGTCATGTATTTTCTGGGGAGGAATATGTCCCTTCTGTTTCTTTGGAGTCTTTTTCCCAGACAGTTCCCAGTTTGGTCTCAGTTTATCCCCTCTACCCCAGAAACAGTTTCCGACACTACAGTGGCGGCTTTCCCCGCTACTGAAGGTAGGGGTTTTTTGTCCGTTTCTGTTTTCGGGGTCTGTGTGGTTTGCGTACAGACTGAAAATCTAACAAGGGAGGTTTTTGCCATCTCTAAACTCCCATTAGGACAGGTGTTTTGCTTCATCAGGCCTTCACCTGGCCCAGTCCCCCAGTGGGTTGCATTTGCTTGTCTGGGTGCTCAAGGACAGAGCTTATGCCAGAGGCAATCACCCCTCAGGGCTACACTCCCTCATTTCACCAGGACTTAGTTGAAACAAAGCTTTTCTCAAAGAGATGCTTTCTCTGACAGAAAAGCTTTACTCCTGGATAGTTCTGTTCTGCCCTGGCTGGGCTCTTTCCCCAGACAGTGTTCTGACTCAGCAGCACAACTGCTTCAGACACAGTTCAGCTTTACAGTTGTCCCAGAAAGGTCCTTACTCTGATAGGAAAGCTTTTTCTCAGATTTCTTTTTGCAGCTGTGGACCTATCAACCCGGGACTTGTAGGAAAGTGGATAATTGTGCCGTTCCCACCGGCTTTAACTTTGGTTGTTCATTAGCAATCTTCCCCTGGGTCCTGCACCTTCCTGCCTCAGCTCTGTGCTCTAGGAAGTTTACCACTGCAGGAACCCTAGTATCCCTGAAATGCACTCCAACTCAGAGACGCTGGCCAGTCGCCTCTGGGTTTTTGGTCAGAAGCGAGGATACAATGCTTCAGGGGATCTTTGCATTAGGACAATTAGGAGCACCTTTCATTCTGAAACGCTCACTCAGAAACAAAACCCTTGATGCCTCAGCTCAGCTGTAACTGAAAAAAAGCTTGGCTTTTTTGCTTTTCTCAGGTAAAGTTTCCTGCCCTTTTGGGCTCTCTGTAGCTCTTTACCCACACTCTCCCAAGCATTTCCCTCAGGGTACTCTGACCCACTGTCTTTTACTAGTTTGAAGAGACAGAGCTTAGAGGTTTTTAGGAACTTGTCCCTGCCTCCTGCATTGCAGGGAGGATTTTTAAAGCTTGAAAGTCAGAACTTAGGTTTTGCTGTCTTAAGAGGTTTGTTTTCCCTTTGAGCTAATCACAGGTGGTCCCCATACTAATATCTTCAGGTGATTCTAATTTTTGCCCTTTTGTGAGAGTGAGTTCTGAAAGGCTTTAGTTTTTAAGTTTGAGAGCTTTTGAGAAAGATTAAAGCTTTTTAGAGAGTTTTTCCCCCCCCCAAATTTTCCAAGAAAGCTTTATAGTTTGAGAAAGATTTTTTCCCCCAAGAGAGAAAGACCAACTTTTCCCAAAACTTCCCAACTTTAAACTTTGGCTTTTTACACCCCCACTTTTGCCTCAGGGAGAAATCACTTTCTCCTGCCGCTTGGACTTAGCATTTCAGCTGTCCCCAGGTCAAAAGCTTCCATAGGAAACTATTTCTTCCCCACAAGCTCAAAGAAGAGCTTTTTTTACTACCTATAAAGTCCAAAGAAAGATTTTTTTCCCAGTTTGCGTTTATAGCCCCCAAAGTTAGAAAATTGAAGAGTTTTTCTGTCTAGTTGCCTTACTTATTTTTTCCTACACAATCTTACACTTCTAAGTTTTTCCTAAACTATATTACTATGCTATACTTTATATTTTTCACAGATAGAAATTGAGAAAGGGATAGAAGATAGAAAATTTTGACAGAAGAGAATTTCGCTGCAGCATCGGACATCCTTCCAGTCCGCTTTCCTTTTCTCTCGAGGATAAAACCCCTGCCTCTCAATAATATATATAAAAATATATATTTTTCATAACACCGGCATGCCTTATCCACTGGCAGGGCTGACTCAGCACTTTCGCCAAAAACTCTGTAATAAAACTATTATTTTCCTTTATCTTTAGTCCCTATTACTTTGTCTTTAGTCCCTGTTCATTTGTCTTTAGTCCCCCTTTTTTAGTCCCCCTTTTTTTTCTTTAGTCCCTTTTTTTTCTTTTTTCTTTAGTCCCTGTTCATGGCGTCATTCTGTGGGGCGTTTACCCAACCACCCCCACAGTTCCCCAGAGTTTTCTTGAGTGCGAGCAGCAGGAAATATTAGATAGAAGGATTTATTGCGGAGAATCTTGCGGAGATAAACAGATAGAAAATAAAGGATAGCCTCGAGAGGGCCTGGAACCTATTCCAACGGGCCCCGACTGTCTCTGCCCCAGGGTTTTTATAGAGATGCCAAGGGGTGGAGCAAAAGACCTCCTCCCCCAGCACAGCCAAGTGCAGACCATCCCAGACACCTG